GTACTAAGTTATCCCTTAATTAGGAAAACACCTCCGTTCTTATGCTGTGCTCCTCTCAGGCTTCTGAATGCTTTCATGGTTTGCTTTAGATACTGCCTGGACAACAGGAGAGCTTTAGAGAGGGACGTGGCGTTTGCTGAACTTCAGACTCGCCTTATCCGTTACGAAACGCAGACCACCTGCACAAAGGAGTCCTGTCCCGTGCCCTGTGCCTTGAGCCCTCTGCCATCTCCTGCGGTTTTGTCAGAGCCTGGGAGTGTCCCCGATGGGGAATCTCTGCAAAGGGAGCTGCAAACAGAGGCATCCAGGTTACAACGCAGATCAAAGGACCTGGACAGCTTTCATCCCAACAAGAGGTAATATGAAGCAGTGTAGCTAGCTGCTCAGGCAGTCAGGCTCGGTGTGCTGCAGGCGCTGCCACCCCAAGTGGTAAGTGGCTGCCCAGTGCACCCCCAACCCCAGCTATGCTAGTGGTAATATGCTACACTTTTTAAAAACAACAACAGTGAGATATTTTGAGTATGTGTAAATTCAGCTCTCTTTTCATTCCAAAGAGATTTCTGTGGCATAATGTTCAGATAATCTTAATCCTCTTTTGCTAATTCCTCCCTCCCTGCCTTATTTTTCCTGTGCGATAACCTTTCGTTAGCTTTGAATATGTTGAAACAGGACCCGAAGGCATTTTTGCTTAAGCTCCATAGGGCTGCGTGATGCAAGATGCTGAGTGAGGGTCACGCCCCACAAAACTGGTTCTGTTTAGATAAATCACTGCCAGATTGGATGAAAGATCAGATGCAGAAATGTGTTATGTTTTCTCTCCTGTTTCAGATGGATAGTTTCTAATTGCTGGCATCTGACACGATTTGAGGTGTTTTCATGACAAATTGAGCTGCGCACAGAACAGAATAATCTTAAAATCTGTTTGGTTCCCTCCACTCTTCTTTCTAGGTTGCGGAAATCTGAAAGCACAGATTCTCTCTTGTCCCAGGCAAGCGGAAGCAGCGGGAGCCGCCATTCAGGAGTTGTCACAAGGCAATGCCAGGAGATTTCAGCCTCTCTGCCTTCAGTAGCTGTGAAACAGTCTCACAGTCGGATGCATAAAGTCGTCCTAAAGAGCAGCTCAGCAAGCCAGAGGTGTGGGGGAAAGCCAGAAACATCGAAGCCCACAAGGGAATCGAGATCTCAGAAGCATACACGGGTAAATAACTTTTTTCGGATAGCTAAAAATGAAGTTCTGTCTTTGCTTTTGCTGTCCCTAGATTGAATAAGGCAGGGCGAAGATTTGAGCCATAAATTTAACAAATTACTTGCCATCCTCTTTGGCCAGCCTTTTGAGTCTCTTCTTCAAATTCCCATGCTGCTCCTGTTGCCAAGAAACTCGGTTCCGCTCGTACTCTGCACATGCCCCAAGGATATGTGTATTTTAGTTTTGTTCTGAGCGGTGAGCAATAGCACCGCATTATAAATAGTTCATATTACAGAAGTAGTGCACAGTTTCTTAAGCTCTGGGAAATGCTTGTTTATGCACTTAGGCAGCAGAAGACAATATCCATTTTATCCCTAGATGGAGAATAGTTTCAGTACAGGGAACTGTCAGCTTAAGTAATTAGTCAAAGGGGGGAAGAGACATTAAAGGAGGATAAAACAACAACTAAATAAAAATCCAAACAAGGATGTTGTGTGTGTATGTGATAGGTTTTTTATTTTTTTAATGCCTAGCAGCTAGTGTTTCATCTTCAAAGGACAATATGAATATTTCATTCATATTCCTGTGAGGTAGGTAAACAAGCGATCTGTTTGCTTGTTCAAATAAAAAAAAGAATCGGAACAAGTTTTGTTACTTGCTCTAGCATGAGGGGGTCACGTCATAATTACATCTTTCACTGGGACGTCTATCATGTTTTAGTCTGGCGCCTAAGCCTGCAAAGATACGATTGCAGCAAAATGTGTGTAGGTGTCCACATGCAACGTACAGTTTATATTCACCAGGCAGCTTTGATCTTTGCAGCTTCCTTCTGAGCGGATCGTAAGCCTAAATTTCGCTTAGATGTGTTACCTGTGAAAATGCTGCAGGCACTGACTATATAGCAGGGCTGAGCTGAGAAATGCTGGGGCCCAGGCCCCTTCGTTAGTAGCACGGTTTTGCTCCGATAAAAAATGTGGATTTGAAAGTGGGGTGTTGGGCCTCAGAAGTCCAATACACTGCCAATGCTTTTCTTCAAGATGCTGAAGGAGGTGGTGGCGAAAACCCTCAAGGAGCACGGCATTGTTGAAGATCACAAATGCTTTGTGGCCTGCAGCCAACGTCTGTTTGAGATATCCAAGTATTATCTAAAGGTATTTTTCTCCAGCATGCGCAGAACAGTGTGTGATTGTGTTATCGTTTGATATGTTGACAAGGAAGGGTGGCCTGTGTGATATACCATACTTTTCCATGTATAAGATGCCCCCATTTGGGGGGGGGGGTTACGCAGGGTTGTTGAGGTATTTTTAGGGAGGAATGCCAGAAATCGCTCACCCACACGCATCCAAAAATCTGCCTCTCATCATTTGTCCCTCGCCAGCAGAATCTACCAATCGCCCGCCCAATTGCCACAGCGTCAGCCTATCAACACCAGCCATTGATGCAACAACCAATAACACGCCCAATAGCCGCTGACAGCCACAGCAGCAACCAATCAAGCATCCACCCTCTGGACTATCCATGTATAACACGACCCCCACTTTTAAGCATTATTTTTAAAGAAAAGAACCAAGTCTCATACATGGAAAAGTATGGTTTTCTGCCCTCAAACTGGCCGCCTTTTTACTAACTTAGAATCATAGAATTGTAGAGTTGGAAGGACCCTGAGATTAAGAGTATTATGCACTTCTGATAGGGTTGAGCCAAAGTGCCTTGTTCGGTGTCCTTTTTCATTCTATTAAAGTGGCGGTTTCTGGGCACTTGCTGCAATCAAATTCACATTGCTTGAATACTATCCTCTGTGCCATTTTCCTCCACCTGTGCTCTTAACAGTCCTCAGCCCCGCTCTGCCCCATTAGCCCATGTTACCGTTTCATTGCATAGGTGACCCACGTGATTTTGATTAAGCATCGCAACCCCACACCTGGCACAATGATTTCAGGAATGCTCACACGCAAAATCTGGGGGTTGAAATAGCAAATTGGGTTCAGTAGCAATGTGGACAAATGATAGGAGTGCAAAGACAAGACTCCAAAATATGCTAAGAGGACTCAGTAGCCAGGGGAGTAAAAATAAATAAAAACACTGAGTATTGGGATTTTTTAATTTTACTGGTTTGTTTGGCTGTGGAATATCAAAATTTGGAAATGTTCAGTACAGCTTTTACTACCATTTGTTGCCATTTCCAGTGGGATAGCTGTGTTAGTCTCTTTGCAGTAAAAAAAATCAAAGAGGCTTGTATCTCCTTAAAAAGTAACTCATTTATTATGGCATAAGCTTTTATGAACTACAGGCCAGCTGTCATCCATTAAAGTTTATGCATTTTGGTGTTACTGTAGTGCTTTGTTTTCCAGAATATTAATACATCTATTCCTTCTTGCTAACCTTAAATCTAACACTGCGATCCATTAAGTTTTCCGCTTGTGATGCAATATGGTTCTTATTTAGGATCTGAAAACATCTAGGGGACTATTTGATGAAATGAAGAAAGCTGCAACCAGCAATGTTAAACAGGTGAGACACTCTTACCTGTCCAGATTATGTTTTCTGTACTGGAGAATATTACAGATCGTACTGAGGCTTGGCTTGGCTTATCAAAGTGGTTCTCAGGATTATCTAGATTGAATTGCCTCAAATAGTGGCTTCATTGGGCTGCTGGATGAGTCTGTAAGATGACCAAATTGTCCCCTTAGTATTAATTTGTGGAATGTGACCTGTAAAATGGTTTGTTTGCCCAGCAGAATATTTGCCTTTTTTTTTTTTAGAATTCAGAGTTTGGTAATAGTTGTTGGCTATCGTGTGTTTTTGTGTGTGTGTGTGTGTGTTTTTTAAGATCCTTGAATTATAAAGAACCGCCCCAGTATTAATTAGATTCAACATTTCTGTATTGCATCATTTTACACCTCTTAAGCTTTGTTTTATGTTCATTTTTAATTCTAAGTGCATTTCTTGGGATGTGTTTACAGGTCATTGAATGGGTTTTAGACAAGAGCAAGGAGAAATGACATGTGCTAAAACCATTGCTATTCCAGGATGGCAATTTTGAGCAAGCACAGCGCATTAAGTGGACAGCGTGGGAGTGCCTTGTTACGTTGCGGAAGTCCCTAAAACCAGTGATTCCTGCAGTGTAATACCCTCAAAGATCTCTGACATTTAAAAAATGGCTTTGAATTGAGCCTTATGTGTATATATATCTCTCTCTGTGTATATATACACATACACACATTTATTATTTCAAACTGTATAAATAACACAATCAAATCTTCTATGCTTTTTTTTTTATATGCGGTTTGTACAGCTTTTTTATTTAGAAAATAAAAGCCAGGTTTCTAAGTGGTTGACAGTGTTATCTTCTTTTCCTGTTTGCCTGATTTACTAGGCGCATAACTCTGTCAGTACCTTCCTTGTGGTTAACCAACTAGCCATAAAAGTTTTACAAGATAGACAAAACCCTCTTGCGCTTGATAACAAATTAAGTGTCAAGAACAGTGGTTTTTGTTGAAAAACCCTGAACCAAAAGCCCACCAGGAGGAATATTCTTCCTCTAGACCTGATCGTTGACTCCCATAGATGAACCGAGATGAACCAGAATGCCTCAGTCAAAGCAAATATATGCACAATAAGTTTCAACCAGTTTCAGAAGATTCAAGGGAGATAATTGTAAATGGAGACTTAGCTAGAATAATTGCTGCTATCAAGCCAAAACTCAGTTGTAGAAATTCCATTGGGGTTAATCAAGCTAGCGTCACTGAATGTAAATATAATGCTTTCTCAAAGCATTCTGTTCTTGCCATATAAATTATAACCCCACAAAAACTCCAGTAAATGAATTTTTTATTAAATATAGTATTTTTTCCTCTAAAATATAAATACTTTAAACTAAATTCTTACAAATCTTGAGTAGCGCCGTATAATTCGTTCTATCAACTCCAACCAAATACGAGTCGATCCAAAATCTGTATTTAATTTGTCTATAAATATATAACATTTTTTTCTCTTTGCAAATTATTCACTTATTCTTTATATTGTAATCTGAGCACCGTAAATTACACGACATACTGTGTTACTTATTAATTGATAACTAATAGATAAATTCTGATTATTTACAATGCAGGTATATCTATAACATTCCAGTGATTTTTTTAAAAAAGTGTTTAGGGACAGTATAATTTACACCTGCATTTACTTTCCCTATAATACGCAGTAATTCTGGGTTATTTTCTGTCATTCAAATCCATAAACGCTCTCCCTTTGCAGTTTCAGTTGTATTGAACGAAGGACTTGCATTTTGCGTGACGTTGGCAAGTGCATGGATTGATGGCTCTCCATCTGCATATTTGCATGTTCCTTTATTTTTCACAAAAGGAAAAAAAATCAGCCCAGCCTCACATATCCCTCTATCATCCTTCAACTGACATGGACACCCTTATTCCACTTACGGAGATCTCTTACCTGCAAAGGTGTTCCTATGCTTTAAATGCAGGAACGAGACCTAACCCTGGATACATTCCACTCCTAAGTCCATTCAAGTGAAACATGGAAGCCCATAGAGTCTTCTGTGCGCACTGGAGTGGGACATGGGGCCCTAGATCAGGGAAATACTACATTGACAGAAAGGGGTTGTGTGTTAGACCTCTTTTTGGAAGACCGCTATTATCATATCCCTCCCTTCTCAAGGGCTTCAGTACTTTCCCTCCCCTGCCTGCACCAAGCCTGCATTTACCATCAATAACAATTACACCAGTATCAGGCATAGCTGTTATTAATACTAAGCAAATACTCTATAACCAGGGTTTTATTATTAGCTTCAAACCCTGGTTAGGAAACTCTGGCTTAATGCTCAGTTCTGGATGAAGTTAAGTGCATGATGTGCTTAGCAACATTTGCTCCGTTAGCCATGGTTAAGATCTGCGCCGTAATACGGATCCCGTTTGGTATCTTCTGTATATAAAACAATGTATTTTTCCCCGTGTACAAAAATAACTCCAAAAAGAGATTTAGTTGCCGTGCCCCACTTCCAGGGAACACAATTAAAATGTAAACACAACTGAGCTCCCTTTTGTCTGTCAGAAGGAATCAACATCGAAAAAATGAGCAGTGTTCCAGGAAGCTTGAATAATAAGGATAATTGTTATACTGAAAGCCACCAGCTCAGGGTCTCCCGATCACATTTTCTGCCTCTTTGTGTGTGTGTGTGTGTGTGTGTGTGTGTGTGTGTACAAGATAGGGTTTTAGTGTTGATGCATTTGGAAGACTGCATTCAAGCAGGATTCTTTGTGGGTCGTATCCAACCAAGTCATACTCGGAGGAGACCCACTGACATCAATGGACAAGTTAGTCATGACTGAATTAAGTCCACCTGCTTCCCTGGGTCTGCTCCAGCCCAATAAAACGGTACTTTGCCATGGCAATTGGCTGCTCCCGAGTGCTGCTGAACACTGCAGCTGTTCAGATCTATACTTGGGTCAAGAAGCCAGCAAATGCGAGTGAAATGGCATAATAAAAGGTTGCCAAAGTTTGTTGTGTAAAGGAAGGAATTAAAGAACCTTTCCCTTGTGCCTTGGCTCATGGGAAGCCTATCAGCGGAAAGCATCACCACTGAAGGACCTTTAGCCGAAGCTCAATTCAAAATGAGCCTCCCCATCTTAAAATTCTCCCAGAAGGATCTTCGCTGCCTTCAATGTCTTTAGAGTAAAACGATTTGAAATGCATCACATAATTTCATATAGACTGTTTCTCTCACCACAAGTTATTACTGTTAACTGAGCAGCTCCATTTTACGAAAGTTGGCTTGGATTTATTAACTGAATGGCCACAGCGGCTTCTACAGCCGAATGTTACATGTGGCCATTGTAACCCTTAAGCTACAGTACTTAAGGACAATTCTGAGGTTTCCCCCTGCTCCGGTCTGGCTTGGCAACACTGCCACAGTCTGACCTCTCCACCTGGGAATAGTGCCCTTTCGTGCAATGTTCACAGAGAACTAGATTTCCAAACCATTTCCACCTTTGTCCGGACAAGCAAACTACTCTGGCTGGTGCATTAATGGCAGGAAAGTGGAGTTTTCTGAAAACGGAAAGATGGCTCAGCGGAGACAAAGTCCACGGGTGCACAAGATCTTGACAACTTTTCACCAGATCTTCTGTGGATAAAATGCTGTGCTCTGCTATCTGCCTAGCCCTTATTTTCACTCATCAGTGGTTTTCAAACTGCATACTCTCAGAACTCCTGCCCACATCTGTGTTCAACCGATTCTCCTCACCCACAATGGGCTGCAGATTTCTGGGATGTTTTGGGACACACTTTTATCAGTCCACAAAGACTGCCAGCCCCATCTGTGGGGAGCAGTTGTCATGCTACATAAACAGAGAGGGGCACCCCAAAGTTGACCGTTGCTCCACTGCGGCTGGGCGACGCCACAGAAAATGGTACGACTTCAGGGGAGCTGTTCTCGCATTGCTGATTTTCTATCTGAGGGATCCCACAGTTTCTCAGAGCCCAGTTTGAAAACCACTGGTCTCTTAGCACTGCTACAGGCACAGTTATGTATACTGGAAATGCCACGCTGTAGTATTAAGCTATTTACTCCTTCAATTATTTATTTATTTATTTTATTTACAAGCCATCAGTTTTGTTTCCCCTGCAGTGTGTTAGTCGAAGCAAATGTCCTGCTCTTGAACGTCTCAGCAACTCTTCCGCCTTTCTGTGCTCTGTATTTGTAGCTGGTCCAAATGTGGGCATTGCTCCTGTGCAGAATATTTATATATATATATCCCTAGCAGCTTCTACTGTTGCCGAGGTGTCCCTTGCCATTTAGATTGTGCAGGCAGCTCCTCCGTTTTTCCTTCAGACTGTGCTTATGCTACCAACCCAAGTCTTGTAATCTTGGCCGAAAGGAATGAATGAATGATGAACACAATTGGCTTTGGACAAGAGTGAAGGTCCAGTTGCTGAAATCAGAAGAGAGAAGAAGTATGAGCTGCGGGTCGACTCAGTAAAGGATGTACACAGAAGGAAATCTGGGTTGCAGCCGAAGGTGCCTTGCTAACAAAACGAATGGTTCCGTAAGCAGAAATGGGATCTTTCGATGCAACCCACAATTTTATTTTTCGATCGTATCGAAGAAGAAAAAAGTTATCAGTATCCTTACAGTAAGCTCAAAACTAGAATGAAAGCATCACTTTGAAGGTGACGTGGTTGTAGATTATGCAGCAGGCTAAATCAGACAGGTGGTCCATAGGGCTGTAAAAAAGCAATTTTGCAAAGCAACGGCTGGAGATGTCAAATGTAGCTCTTCCCTCTCCTGACTATGCAGCTGATCCTTGTTTTGTTAACCTTAGGTGCACCTCCAGTAGCCGGTTTCAAAGTAAAGGAATAGGACTTTGACTCCTACCCTTTGTGGGAGCACTTGTCCATTAACTACAGATAAAGAGGAGATGAATTGTCCTAAGCTGAAAATGAGAGTGTGCTTAGAAATTGGATTCCCTTAGCTGAGCCTTCCCCATTCACTTTCCAGGAAAAGATAATGGGAACTTTACAGTCAAACTCCCATCGTTTCTCCTTCTAGGTGGTTCACTGGCCCTGTGCAATGGCAATGCACACACATTAAACTTGCGATTTAAATAACTTTGCTATACGGTAGGCCTATAAATGCTTCAATCAAGTGAAATCTGTATTTGTTTTTGTATATATTACACAAGCAGGAGATATTGTTGCTGCAAAATTTGTGTAATAATAATAATAATAATAATAATAATAATAATAATAATAATAATAATTTATTATTTATACCCCACCCATCTGGCTAAGTTTCCCCAGCCACTCTGGGCGGCTCCCAATCAAATGTTAAAAACAGTACAGCATTAAATATTTAAAACTTCCCTAAACAGGGCTGCCTTCAGATGTCTTTTAAAGAGAAGATAGCTGCTTATTTCCTTCACATCTGAAGGGAGGGTGTTCCACAGGGTGGGAGCCACTACCGAGAAGGCCCTCTGTCTGGTTCCCTGTTGCCCAGGATCAGAAACTTCATGTACCGTACACATAGCCTTGCATATCTACCTTCAGGCCTGCAAGGAGCTGTCTCCTGATTACTAGGAATCTAGTAACATGACACCTGCTTTTTCAAAGACTTCCCAAATTCTTAAGCACCTAATTCGCAGCACAGCGCTGCACAATCACTGTCACCCAGTAACAAAACGTTTATCGAAGGAGCATATGCTACAAATGACAACAACCTATATTCACAGCAACGCAGGGAAAATACAAAAATAAAAATCTTACAATTTCTCCTTCCTTTCCTCCAAAGTCTAAGTAAAGCATCCGAATCCCATCGTCCGAGGACATTTTTAGCTTCTCGTAAGGAAACTGTAAAATGGTTTTGGGGAAGGCACCATCTTGGGGTTCAGCTGCGAGGGAGAATCCGTGTTCGTAATGAATGGTCAGACGGCATTCCTGGCTTTTGTAGGTGCAAGCTGAAGGGAAAAACACACACGAGTTGGTAATAGTTAATGGGTGGTGCTGTGGGTAAATCCTCAGCGCCTAGGGCTTGCCGATCGCATGGTCAGCGGTTCGAATCCCTGCGGCGGGGTGAGCTCCCGTCTGCGGTCCCAGCTCCTGCCCACCTAGCAGTTCGAAAGCACCCCTAAAAAGTGCAAGTAGATAAATAGGTACCGCTTTCTAGCGGGAAGGTAAACGGCGTTTCCGTGTGCTGTGCTGGTGCCGGCTTGCCAGAGCAGCTTCGTCACGCTGGCCACATGACCCGGAAGTGTCTCCGGACAGCGCTGGCCCCCGGCCTCTTAAGCGAGATGGGCACACAACCCTAGAGTCGGACACGACTGGCCCGTACGGGCAGGGGTACCTTTACCTTAATGGGTGGGGAGTCACGAGCCTATTTGAAGGCTTTTGAATATTTTGGTTCTAGCTTGCAGAGAAGCTTGGGGTTAGGGAACTAATTGGCTCCATGACAACTGAAAACAGGCTCCGATAACTGCAAGCGGGAAAACAGCGTAGCACTAATATTTCTGCATACGTGGCTGAGCATCAGCAGGAGCCGAGAAGATACCTGGAAGGCAGGAAGTAATGCCGACTGCAGCTGTATATAATAGTAATAATTAAAAGCATGGGGGGGTTAATAGGCTCTCTGAACCTGCAAATTGGTCCTAGCCAGGCAAAATTTCTGTGACAGGCGCCTTGGCTCACAATAGCTGGGACACAAACCAGGAACCACCTGGTCTGTGAACCACACGGTCAGGGAAGAGACAACACTGTCCAAGGTTGTAAAGACTGCAGAGAGAATAATTGGGTGCACTCTTCCCACCTTGGATCAAATCTATGCTTCCAGGTGCCATAAGAAAGCTGCAGAGATAGCGCAGGATAGTGCGCACCCCGGAAATGATCTCTTTCAGCTTCTGCCTTCTGGAAGAAGGTACAGGGTTATAAAGACTAGGACTAGCTGCCTGAGAAACAGTTTCTATCCAAATGCGATTTTGGTTTTAAACGCAGTGTAAGGTAGTTTCTATGTGAGTATATTGTATTCAATTATGGGGTATCGGGGGGCTAACCAGGCTGGGATAGTTGGGATAGCAGGCTTGTTGGTTTTTGAATGTTTGATGTAGATTTTTTCAATTTCGTTGTTCTGTATGGGACAATGAGAATAAAGATTATCGTATCGTATCGTATCGTAATCTTCCTTATGGCAACTGGGGTCTGGGAGCCCAGCCCATAAGCCCAGCCTCTGTGGCTTGAACTCCTGAACTCGAAGGTTCTCCTCGATTATATAATTCAGGTCTGCGTGAACAGAGCAAAAGGCTCTTAAAACACACTTCTCCCTAGTGCGAATAGCAGCATACAGTGGTATCTCGGATTAAGAACTTAATTCGTTCTGGAGGTCTGTTCTTAACCTAAAACTGTTCTTAACCTGAAGCACCACTTTAGCTAATGGGGCCTCCCGCTGCCACCGTGCCGCCGCAGCACAATTTCTGTTCTCATCCTGAAGCAAAGTTCTTAACCCAAGGTACTATTTCTGGGTTAGCGGAGTCTGTAACCTGAAGCGTCTGTAACCCAAGTTACCACTGTACATTGTGAGAGAACCCTTCATTTTGCTCACTCCTGGATATAGCAGACCTTCAGCACCCCTTGGCCATTTTGGACAGCAAACAGACCAGAGGTAAGCAATATGGTGCCCTCTTCTCCCACCTAGGGGTCATGGCTGCTGGGGAGCCGTGGGTTCCCTACCCCTATTTCAAAGGATAGTTGCTGACTGTGGCCCTATGGCTTTGGCTCACCGGTAGTGATTTCCATTGAGAGTTCTGCAGCGTTGTGACAACCCTGAACTATGCTCCGCGTCCACAGCGAGAGGTCTCTGCCGGTCTCCGTCCTGAAGAGATGGCTTTCAATTCCTTGCCGTGTACCCGTACGGGTAGCAAAGGACAAATCCATCCCGGCCTGGGGGGAGCCTTTCCCGGGTCCTGAATGTACCAACCTAAAGGAGAACGAACGAGACAAGAAGCTGGAGTTAGAGGGAGGGTTTCACAATGGTAGATTCCCTGCTTGGTATGCAGAAGGTCCCAGTTGCAATATCTGCTATATAATTCAATTTCACTTAAACTAGAGGTTGCATCAAGCAGACGAGATCGGATCAAAGTATCTTATTCAAGGTTTCCTTGCAAAAGCCGTGACACTTATCTAAAGGTGGCGGAACGATTAGGCGAGAAACAAGCATTTCCTGGAGCGCCATTGAACTTGGAAGTTGATAGTTACATCACCTTGCCAACAAAGGTCCGTATAGTTAAGCCATGGTTTTCCCAGTAGTGATGTATGGAAGTGAGAGCTGGACCATAAAGAAGGCTGATCGCCGAAGAATTGATGCTTTTGAATTATGGTGCTGGAGGAGATTCTTGAGAGTCCCATGGACTGCAAGAAGATCTAACCTATCCATTCTTAAGGAAATCAGCCCTGAGTGCTCACTGGAAGGACAGATCCTGAAGCTGAGGCTCCAATACTTTGGCCACCTCATGAGAAGAGAAGACTCCCTGGAAAAGACCCTGATGTTGGGAAAGATTGAGGGCACAAGGAGAAGGGGACGCCAGAGGACAAGATGGTTGGACAGTGTTCTCGAAGCTACAAACATGAGTTTGACCAAACTGTGGGAGGCAGTGGAAGACAGGAGTGCCTGGCTTATTCTGTTCCATGGGGTCATGAAGAGTCGGACACGACTAAACGACTAAACAACAACAACAAGTGACATGACTGTTAGGAAAGGTGCTGGTCTGAACTTCTGAGGCGTGATTTAATCTTGTTTAACTTTGTCAACATGGAATGGGTACATTGACTTTCTTCCTGAATAATATGCTAACTAATCCAAAGAGTTTGCTAATTGTTCCTGCAATCTGACTGACTGCGCCGTCGCAAACTCACGTAGGTAATTTTAATAAGTTACCTTAAAAGCGTGAGTCCAGACCACAGGGCTCTCAGGCACTGTTTCCACCATATCACCCTTTGAACAGACAGGTTTCATCTCTACCAACTGAGGTCTCTAAATAATTGCCTCCATTTAGTAAGGAAGCCTCCCACCCGCGGCTGCAAGTCACAAAGTATGAGGGTTTCTACAGTGTAAGAGACACAGCCATACACACCTTTGAGGACAAAAGATGGCCCAGAATCTTCTGTTGCTCAACTGAGGTCCTGTGGTAGGGAAGTCAATATGGGAAGGGTTCCCTCAAACAGCATAGCCCTAGTGTTACAGAGGATATACAAAAATCCAAAGGGAGGTCTACCATGAAAGTGTGATTTCTTTCCTTTTCTTACACCTCTTAACAACATTTGCAGCTGTCTATACTCAAGGGAAAGAAGAAAAAAGGAAGAAAAGGATCAGCAGGAGAAAAGAGAGCCAAAGAATCATTTGGACTCATGTTTCTTTATAGTGGTCCAAGCGAGCCAATTCAATTAAAAGCAGTTGATGTTGCATTCAGGAGATAAGGGAAAAAAGCCACAAGGCATTTTTGCACATGGGTTTAGTAGCATGAGAGAAACCCAAAACACCTGTTACTCATGTAGCAGTGCTTTTGGGGTTTTTTTTTTAACCCTTCAACAAGCAGGGCCTTCGGAAGTTGATGAACAATTGATATACTTCAGGGAACTGTATGAGCTCAGAGATTTCAGCTCTCGGTGAGAGAGTTCACCTGAAGATTAGCCAGATGGAGAGGCTTTGCCAGGTAAAAGGTCCATCTCAACAGTGCCCTGGGTGTGTGCATTCAAGGACCAGCACTTCCCAGCAGAGGGCACAGGAGAGCTAAAAATCCAAAACAAACAGTAGCTTTTTCCAGCATGTTGAGAATCAATAGACTTGTAGAGTTGCAGGAATATGCAGCTGTCCCATATGGGGATCAAGAAGAAACATGTATAATAATAATAATAATAATAATAATAATAATAATAATAATATTTACTTGGGTAAAAACAAAAAAAAATCCTTCCAGTAGCACCTTAAAGACCAACTAAGTTAGTTCTTGGTATGAGCTTTCGTGTGCATGCACACTTCTTCAGATACACAGGTCTTTAAGGTGCTACTGGAAGGAATTTTTTTTTGTTTTGACTATGGCAGACCAACACGGCTACCTATCTGTAACTGGTACTTGGGTAAAGGTAAAGGGACCCCTGACCATTAGGTCCAGTCGTGACCGACTCTGGGGTTGCGGTGCTCATCTCGCTTTACTGGCCGAGGGAGCTGGCGTACAGCTTCTGGGTCATGTGGCCACCATGACTAAGCTGCTTCTGGCGAACCAGAGCAGCACACGGAAATGCCGTTTACCTTCCCGCCGGAGCGGTACCTATTTATCTACTTGCACTTTGACGTGCTTTTGAACTGCTAGGTTAGCAGGAGCAGGGGCCGAGCAACAGGAGCTCACCCCGTCGCAGGGATTCGAACCACCGACCTTCTGATTGGCAAGTCCTAGGCTCTGTGGTTTATCCCACAGCGCTATACCCCCCCTTTTTTCCCTGATGGGACTCAAGGAGATGTAGACCCATGGCTCACGCTTAAAGTTTGATAAGGATGGAATAAGTCCATTTCCTGCCCTTGTCCTCTCTGTTGAATGGTTACTTTAAATGTAAAGGTTCATCATTGTTCCACTCCATGTGTATGTCTTTAAGGGGCCAGAGCAAGGGCCAGAGCAAGATAACGAGACCCAGCTTTACAGCTGTGTAACATAGCAGGTGCTGCTGAGTTGTATTTGATTAAGGTGTGTCAGCATCTGGGTGTAGTATATAAGGAGCAGCACCTAGCTCTCCCATTACCCCTGGGGGATGGGTTGGTGGTTGGGTCATGTTTGTTTGTTAATATATTTAGTGTTAATGGAGTTTTTGTTTTTCTTATTAAAACCTTCTTTAACTTATTTTTGAGTCCCTTCTTTTTAATGCATGATCTCCCCAGCAAGCTCTCTGCAGCGTCACTATACTGCAAAAAGCCAACATCTTTGGTTATGGGCCCAGCTGCTGAGTGGATGACTGCATAT